CAGCTTCTCAGATCTTAGAATCAGATTGGATACTGTCCTCATTCCTTCTTTTCGTTTTTGAAATCTTATTTATTTGAAAAGCAGAGACAAAAACAAATATAGAACTGGGAGCAAGGGAGGGAGCGAAACAGACACAAAGAGATTTTCCATTGGCTGGTTCACTACCCGAATGCCCACAACAGCTGGGACTGGACCAGACCAAACTCCAGGAGCCAGGAGCTCCATCTGGCTGCAGGGACTCCAGCACTTGAGATGTCCCCTGTCCACAAGGGTAAAGCATTAACCGGAAGCAGAGCAGGGCGTAAGCCGGACACTCAGATACGGGTCATGGGCATCCGAGCAGCATCCTAGACCCTGGATCTATTGCCCAGCTCCTTCCACCCTGACTTCCAGGGGGTTCTTTCATTTTATCGTGACAACTGCCACACGGCCATCTCTGTGACAGCAGAGCACAACGCGAAGGAAGGGAGGGCCATCTCGACAGGAACCTGCTCTTGTGCCTACTGGGAGTGGTTCCTGACAGTATCACTGTTTCCCTTGGAAACGGAAAGTACTCTAGCCCCGCCGCGAGTTCTCTCAGTATCACCACACTCTTGCATGGACTGTTCATGCAAGAAAGGAGGGAAAGGACCATGTGCTAGGAATTTAAGAGAGAGAGCGAGAGCACTGCCTTAGCTGGGTTGGGCTGTGTTGAAGCTCCCAGAAGCAGGGAGCTGAGAACCCAACCCAGGTCTTCCACGTCTGTGTGTGTTTGTGGGGGGGCGGGGAAGGACCTGAATCACTTGAGCCGTCCTTGCTTTCTCCAAGGATCTGCATTAGCAGAAAGCCGGCGCGAGGTGCTAAAGTAAGAACTTGGGGTACTCCACTGTGGGCCCCTGGGTGTCTCAACTTCCAGGCCCAAAGCCCCTGCCATGTCTGGCTTTTGTGTTCCTTTTATGGGCCTGCCTGCAAGTGGCACACAAGATGCCTATGGGTACGTAAAGACAACTTAAGACTATTGCCATTCAAACAGGGGTAGAACCTGGAAGACTTGATCAATCAGCCTGGAATTGAAAAGTTGGCCTTCCCCCTTCTCTCCCTCCTTCCTCCAGATACTGGAAAAAAGTGTAAAAAACTGGAAGCAATAGTCTCATCCACTTCCGTGTGTTTCTTGATCCTTTCCACCCTAATCACTGCTCCACATGGGCATCTCAATTACATAAACATCATCAAAAATAAATGTGTTATATATGAAAAAAAAGCTGGCACGTTTACCAGTTCAGTTATTTCTTTGAATGACAATGTCTCTCTGGCTTCCCAGGTGGCTTAGTGATTTAGGTGGCATTGTGTGTGGGAACAGCAGGCCAGATAAGTATCCACCTGCATTGCAAATAAGTTGTTTTAACCTGCATGGAATTCAGATTTCTCTAGAAAACCACAGGCTCTGAGCTGCACAGCCCAGCCTTGTCTCCCTCTCCGAGGGAGAGGTGTGGCCCGATGACTAACCATCCCCTTGGGTCAGGAGACGTGCAGGGTGTACCACCTGGTCTGAGATAGGAATGTCAAGACATGTTGGCCAAGAGGGCACAAGAGGACTCGAGGTGGGCAGGGTGGCGTGAGGACATGGGGCTTCTCCAGTGAAATGTCGGTGGATCATGTGGCAAGAGGTGAATCAGGGGCTGGCGCTCAACGCCCGTGCGGCTGAGGGAGTTTGATGTTGCCCTGATGTCGTGGGAGGTGCTGACGGGTCAGATGTCCCGGAAGGGCTCGATCAGCGAAGCAGCCTGGGGATCCGCAGCAGTCTGCACATGGCAAAGAGTTGCTCGGTACTCACACCGTGCCTGCTGCCCCTTCCTGCACGCACAGCCCGGCTGCAACTCTTGGAGTCTTCTGCAGTCGGGGGAGGCCACGGGGCTGAGTCGCAGCCCAGCCGATGTGGATGGATGGAAGAGCTTACTGTGTCCAGGGATCACCCGGTGGCAAGGTCCTACACAGTTCTCCGTATTCTCTCTTCCCCATTTCCTAAGAAGACCCGAGGACCTCGATGGGGGAACCCCAGCATGGCAGGAGCTTGGATTCCTGAGGCACCGTGTGGCAGAGCGTGCGATGGGGACTGTCATGTGAGCAGTGAATCCGCTGTTGTTACGCTCAGGGATCAAGGTGTTGGGATTATTTGTCAGAGCAGTGAGATAAACTGTGCTAATAGCTGCTAGCTTTTAAGTACTTGCTGTGAACTGGGCTGGTGCCAAGTGTATTGCCTTACTTGATCCACACAACAGCCCAGTGGGATAGGTCCCACTTGTTAGATCGGCTGTACAGACAAGTACGTAGAGGCTGAGTGAGCAAATAGGGGATGAGGGTCAGAGCAATCCGATCCCCAAATCAATTCACGGGCTGAAAGATGCCCTGCTGCCTCCTTGCACTGAAGGAGATTGGATGAGAAGGGCCTGCCTTGCAAATGGGAGGAATAATAGGTTATTGTAAATAGTAATTAATGGGTTCTGGCACATGTTAGTTCATAGGCTACTAAAAATATTAATCATTAGATTATAAATATGAATTAATGTGTTATTTGTAAATATCAATTAACAGGCTATTGTAAACATGAAGAAGTTGTAAATTTCAATTGAAAAGTTATTATAAATATTAATTTCTCCTGTGACATGGAGGAAATAACTGATATTAATTGGTCATTATAAAAATTGCTAGGTGGTTCTAAATGCTAAGGAGCAGGTTATTGTGAATCTTTATTGAGAAGATGCAGCTGAAGGTTCTGGTGTCAGGCCCACCTGCTGGCCGACGCATACCAAGTGCTGGTTCAGCTTTTCCTCCAGAGACTAAGCAAGAGGTGTTGAAGGCCTGGTGAGCAGAGCAGAGAGCCATCCTGGGAGCATCCTGGCAGGCCTGGGCGAAGGCTGAGGGAGACAGGGAGGAACCCGGAGGGAGGTGTGAGAAATAGCTTGTCCAGTGTGCTACGGCATGGAGAATGGGTTGTGAGGGACTCGGTCAGCGGCGTGGCCTGGGACTCCAGGGCTTGGAAGCTGTCGAGCAGCCATGTCCTGTTCCTGGGCCACCAGCTCACCGGGGCCGTCAAAGCCCTGACCAAATGCACGCACTTGGAGGCGGAAATCTTTCTCTGCACAACTGGGAGCTGATGCCTGAGCTTCTCTCTTGGTGCCTTCTTTTTCTTCTCTGAGGGCAGAGATAGCAAGTCATGGGACTCACAAAGTTGAGATGAGCATATTCCGAATGCTTGGCACAGATAATAAATGGCCATTAAAATGCTCTTATCTCTACCACGGTGTGTCTATACGTGCACACCTTGCGTGAGAGCTGTGAGCCGAGCCTGGCTTGTTCATTGCTGCAGCCTTAGCTAGGTCTTCGGTGATGGGCTCACGGAGCTCGTTAAAATGTTTGTTGACTACGAAAACCTGTCTCACTGTTTCTCTCCCTCACTTCCTTCCTTCACCCCTCTCTCTCTCTCCATCCAGATAGCTGTGTTAGCTCCTCACTCCAGCGTCCTGGAGGCATCATGACATTTTTGTGTGTGTTTATCTGCTCTGTGTGGTACCTGAGCTGAAACTAACAAGTATAGCTACTTTTTTTTTTCGGGGGGGGGGGTTGTTGTCAGCTGTGAGCTGTGTAAAGTCATCAGGTTTCATTGTAAGCATCTGAGCCGGTGAAGGGGAGCGACCCTCCCCCCCAAGAAATCATTACAATGACGATGTAGTGGCTTAGCCCTCACGCCTCTCTCCCACCTCCATCATGTTAAATTACATTTAACATGAAATTTACCGCCTGGCTTCTTTTGAGCGGATGGTGAGTGGCAATAGGTGCATTCCCACGTGGGTACAGTCCATCTCTGTCTTCCCAAACAGGAACTGTGCCTGTTGAGCCCCCACTTCCCACCTGCCCTTCGGCTGGATCCCGGGAGCCACCCTTCTCCGTCACGTCTCTGTGAGTTTCATTCCTCTGGGAAGCTTGTTGCGTACGAGGAGCTGTCCGTCCTGCACTTGTCCTGCCGCGTCCCACAGTTAGGCAGCCACTTAAGCCATGCTGTAAGCGTAGGACCCAGCTGGGAGGTGTAGCTGAGATGATGTGCTTCAGGTGCTTAGCTCGGGATCTGGTGTATTTGAAAGTGTCCCAGAGAGAGCAGTGAGCTTGAACTTCCACGCAAGTGCATGTTATGGTGTGGATTATGTGGTACTGTCTCGAGCCCTCTGCTTCCATCGACTCCTCTCCACCTCTCCTTGACCCCTGTAACCTTGGAGCTATTCCTGTCGTCCACACCTCACCCGGGATCAGATTCCAGGAGGAAGGTGCTCTGTGAAATACAGCCAGCTCAGGGTCGAGCTCAGAGTCAAGGGCAGACAGGCAGCCAAAGTCCACGGCTTTTCTGTGCTCCTTGGGGATTCCCGTGGGACCCTGATGCTTCTCCGAGGCGTGTGTCTGTGCATGTGTAGGGGAGAGGAGTTATTTTGTCATCTCCGTGCTGCTCCTGGGTCAGGCTGTTAGGGGGCACCTGGCTATCCAGGCGACCCCAAGGAGATGTTGGTGACGATCATGGAAAAATCAACTGACAACCACCCTGCTGCTGCTTAACACGCAATCCCACCCCATAGGGGCCCTCTTCCGGCCTGTTTGCATGCACTGTGGGGAGCTGGGGTACTGGGCCCCCTCATTCCATTGTGTGGGCCTGGATGGTATCACCAGGTTCATTTCTTTGTCACCCCCAACCCTTGGCAGAAAGCCCAGCAGCCCTTATCCACCCACCTCCCTCGCTCCACTCTGCCCTGTTGAGATAAAAAAAAAAAGGTTTGCTCTTCCTGGCCTCAGGGCCGCCTCCCACCCAGGCTTTATTGCTTTCTCAACACCCGCGGGAGCCTCTGCAGCCCTTTAAAAGGGGCCGAGCCTGTAGCAGGATCCACAACCCCTGTCCCGGAGACGTGCGTGTGCAGTCAAGCAGGTGCAGGTTCCCAGCAGCTCTGGCAAGGGCCCAGACCTCATACCATCTCGCCCCGATGTCCGGAGAGGTGAGCCCACAGCCAGCGTGTCACGTGTGTGGCAGCTGGGCAGTGTGAGCGGCGGCCGGGGGTCGGGACTTGGTTCCGGCTTGCTTCTCACCTCCTGTGTCCGTCCTATGGTTTCCCCCCTCCTGCAGGCATCTGATTCGGAACTTGGCAGCGGCAAGGTGATGGAGCCGGGGATGGGGGACAGGCGCCGCGTGTGCTTGTACGAGCGGTTTGTGCAGCCCTGCCTGGTGGAGCTGCTGGGTTCGACCCTCTTCATCTTCATTGGGTGCCTGTCGGTCATTGAGAACGGGCCGGACACCGGCTTGCTGCAGCCAGCCCTGGCCCACGGCCTGGCTTTGGGGCTTGTCATCGCCACCCTGGGGAATATCAGGTGAGAGCCTGCTGCTGCCCTGGGGGACCGGGGAGGGGATGGGGGCTGCGAGCTGTTGACAGGGACCCCTGGACACGCACGCGGAGCAGGAGGAGCCCTTACAGAAAGGAGGGTGGGGCAGGGGTCTGTGGATCCTGCTACGGGCTCGGCCCCTTTTAAAGGGCTGGAGTTAAGGGCCCCGGGCACTACAGTCTCAGTCTAGTGGTGTAGGGCAAATTCCCCTGTAGACTTCAAATTTTCCACCCAGCTCATGGGAATAATCAGTATTGTAGGATATTTCTGACATGTAAAAATTGCATATCCTTATGGGATGCCATGAGATGCTCTAAGGAGAGTATTACTAGAGACTTTTAAAAGCCAACATGCAGAGATTGCTGTCCGGGTGCTTTTCTAAGCACTTTTTTTTTTAGCTATCAATCTTTTTATCCTGGCAACTGCTTTGTGGGGGTAGAAAAGACCAAGGAACCTGTACAAGCTTACAGGGAGGGGTGCAGCCAGGAGTTACAAACACACGCTGTCTGGCTCCAGTGCCCAAACCCACATGTTTTGGGGTCGGGGGAGAGGTGATATGAGACTTTGCAAAGAACTTGGAGTTTGTCACCTGTACCATCACCTGTGACTGCAACTGACAGGAGAGAGGCAGAAGAACCACGCAGGGGCTTGTCCCACCTGGTAGGTGGGCACCTGCCGTGGCGCCCGCCTACGGGGAGAGGGGAGCTGCTCCCCCACTGCTTCGTGCTGTCGTCTGGGTGGGAACTCGTGGAGGGGGACAGTGGGAATTGGTGGGTGCTAGGTGAGACAGTGTCTCTTGCTTGGGGCACCGCGCAGGGCGGTCAAGGCCCATGGCTGGTCTGCATTTTGTCTCACTCGGGCAACGGAAATAATGTTGCTGAGAAAAACAGAGTGAAATGTGACCTTGCACACCTGTGAAGGCGTGAGGGAGGCCCTGTTGGCCTGAAGGGGATGTGCTATTCTGATCTGATGGGTCCCGGGTTGAGTGCAGCGTTGCTCTACCGTGGTTGGGCGGGTGGCTGGGGTGAGCTGCGGAGCCTCTCGGGGTGGGCGGTGTGGACAGTTCCAGTAGCCTCAGGTGTTGGCTGTGTCCTCATCACGCAAACGAGGCCAGGTGCCGTGGGTATAATCTTTCCCTGGGCCTCTGCAGCCTCCCCAGGGATCATGTGCAGCTCGCCCAGCTGGCAGAGCTGTGCTTTGAACCCAGGCCAGCTGGTGTGAAAGAAACCTCTTAGGCACCTCACTGTATTGTGTCTTGGAAACACCAACCTTTTTTTTTTTTTTTAATTTAATGTATTTTATCTGAAAGGGAGACACACACACACACACACACACACACACACACACACACACACACACACACAATCTCCCATCTGCTAATTTTCTCCCCAGATAGCTACACAATCCAGAAACTCCATCCTGGACCTCCCACGAGGGGAGCAGGGCTCCAGGGACTTGGAGGCCACTGCCTTTTCAGATACATTAATTGGAAGCTGGGTTACAAGTGGAGCAGCCAGGACTCAAACCCAGAGCACCAAGATAACATTGCTGGTACTGCAGGCCGCCGTTTCACCCACTGCACCACAGCACCAGCTCCTGAAAAACTGACTTTACATTCAATCATTGACTTCTTCAGCCAATATTTATTTAGCCTTGACTTTGAGGCTCCTGAATGGATTCAAGATAAGGTGTGTACCAACACTGCTCCTGGTATACAATAAGTGTTTAATAAATAACCAGCGCATGCTGTGGCTGGCGCAGTGCCTTGACAGGCTGAACTTCCACCTGCAAGTTTAGGATGTCAGTTTCCACTTGACATCCTATAGAGGTGCCAGTTCCTATCCTAGTGGCTCCACTTCCCATCCAGCTCCCTGCTTGTGGCCTGGGAAAGCGATTGAGGATGGCTTAAAGCCTTGGGACCCTGCACCTACTTGGGAGACCCGGAAGAGGTTCCTGGCTTCTGGCTTCAGCTCAGCTCAGCTCTGGCCATTGTGGCCATTTGGGGAGTGAACCAGAGGATGGAAAATCTTTGATTCTATAAATCTTAAAAATCAGTACTGTATGCACAACAAATGAAGGAAATTGGGAAACACCTTGATCATGTTTGAGTTCATGAGTGTGAGGTTTGTCTGGGATGCTTGTGTGGTCCTTGGGTCACCCACCCTGGTCCTGGCTGGCTCGTGCTCGGTGCACAGGGTAGGGGACAGCGTGATGGCGTGGGAGCTTTATTTTGATTTTTAAAAAAGTATTACTATTTGAAAAACATTTTTCAAATTCTTTATGGGAGGAATTTTTGCCAATTATGAATATGACAAAGGATTAACATTTAAAATTCATAAGTATTCACATGGAATGGAGAAGCTAAAAATCTTAACGAAATTCAATGATAAGCAAGCAGGCAGTTAAGAAATGGGAAGAGGATTTGAATAGACAGTTGTTCGTTATTTTTTTCAAATGTTTGTTTTGCACCTGTTTGGATGGGGCAGAAGAGAGAGAGAGAGCCATTTTCTATTTGCTGATTTGCTCCCTGAAGACCCACAACAATTAGGGCTGGGCCAGGCTGAAAGCAGCCGCCAGGAACTCCATGCACGGCTCTAACACGTTTGGTTATCATCTGAGGCCTCTTGGGGGCATATTACTGGGAAGTTGGATCAGAAGTGCAATGGCAGGACCAGTACAGTGGGGCAGGGTAAGCCTCTGCCCGCAGTGCCAACATCCTATACGGGTACTGGTTGGAGTTCCAGCTGTTCCACTTCCCATTCAGCTCTCTCTTTATGGCCTGGGGAAGCAGCAGAGGATGGCCCAAGGCCTTGAGACCTTGCACTTGCATGGCAGACCAAAAAGAAGCTCCTGGCTCCTGGTTTTGGACTGGCCCAGCTCTGGTTGTTGCAGCCATTTGAGGAGTGAACCACTACAAGTGAATACATCTAAACACACACACATACACACACACACGTGCAGTAGAGGGGACTTGATCAGAACTCTATTTGATACAGGCTGCAAGTGTTCAAAACTGTGACTTCTCCAGCCTGAATAGATATTTTCTTTCTTTTTTTAAGTAAAGATTTATTTTTTACTGGAAAGGCAGATCAGATTTATGGAAAGGAGAGACGGAGAGAAAGATCTTCTATCTATTGGTTCATTCCCCTAATGAATGGCCAGAACAAAGGCCAGAACTGAGCTGATCTGAAGCCAGTTGCCAAGAGCTTTTCAAAGTCTCCCATGGTGGGTGCAGGGTCCTAAAGCTTTGGGCCGGCCTCTGCTGCTTTCCAAGGCCATAAGTAGGGAATTGAAAGGGAAGTGAGGCAGCCGGGACACAAACTGGCACCTGTATGGAATCTTAGGACTTGCAAGGTGAGGATTTAGCCATTGAGCTATTATGCCTGTCCCTGAACAGATATTTTCTTTTTAAAAAAGAAAGAAAGAAAGAAAAAGAAACACAAACTTAAAAAAAAACATGAAAAATGTTCAATGTTGCTAGCAAATGCAAATAAAAACATTACAGGTACTATCTCATTCCAGATAGGATGGCTGTTATCAAACAGACAAAATAGCTGCTGGTGAGAATGTGGGGAGAGTCCTCACACATGCTTGGTGGCAATGCAAATAACTTCTGGCATGAAGGAGTGCTGTGTGAGGAGTCCTCTGCCTACTAAAAGTAGCTCCACCCTGTGACCAGCTCTTCCCACTTGTGGGAGCAAATCCTCAGCAAGTGAAGCGAGCCACTGACAGAGACCCTGCATGCACATGTTCATTGCAACCCTGCTTACAACAGGCAAGAAATGCTATCCGCTTAGGCGCCCATCCCAGGCTGAGAGGATGCACAAACACAGGGAATGTGGATGGATGGGCTCGGAGATGGCGCTGCCCCGTGCGGTGAGCCAGACGCCCAGAGACAGCTGCCACCTGTTCCTTCCGATGGTGTAACTATCAGGAGGATTGACCGGCAGGGGGTATCCGAGAAATCCGAGGAAGGTCAAGCTTTGCTGCCAGCCACATTCCCCCCACCCCCTGCAGGGATGACGTTCCAGGAATGATGGAAGGGCTGGTGAACCTGAGCGTACCTTTGGACCCTAGGTTCAGACTTGTCTTACTCCCATCCAGGTCCCTCCCTAAACTGACGGTGAACTTCCAGCCACACCCAAGTCCTCAACACCGTTTCCACCTTGAACTCTAATCTCACCGTGACATTCTGAATTTCAGACTAAAGCCAGGATTTTTATTGGCTGAGACGTTCAAGCAACCAGCTTTTCTCCAAGGCCTGGCTGTTTTTAAGGTTCATTTTACTTATTTGAAAGACAGAGTAATACAAGAGAGAGATAGAGACAGAGGGGAAAAAAAAATCTTCCATCCGCTGGTTCACTTCCCAAATGGCCACATCAGCTGCAGCTGAGCCAAGGTGAAGCCAGAAACCTAGAACTGCCTCTGGGTCTCCCATGTGGATGGCAGCAGGGACTAAAGTGCTCGAGTCACCTTTCTCTGTCTTCCCAGGGACATTAGCAGGGGACTGGATAGGAAGCAGAGCTGCCGGGACTCGAACCAGTGCTGATATGGGAGGCTGGCATCAGGAGTAGCGGTTTAACCCACAGTGCCACGAGGCAGGCCCCTTCTGTTTCTAGCTGGGGTGTAGCCGCAGTCCTTCACCGTGCACCTTGACCTCACGTCTCTCCTTCTGCTCTTGCTGCTTGCAGTGGTGGACACTTTAACCCTGCCGTGTCCCTGGCGGCCATGATGACCGGAGGCCTCAGTCTGCTGATGCTCCTTCCTTACTGGGTCTCGCAGCTCTGTGGGGGGCTCCTCGGGGCCGCCCTGGCCAAGGTGGGTGTCCCCCAAGGGGCTGGGCTGCTGGCTTCAGCTCTTTGGGGTAAGGGGGAGGGCATGGGGAGTACATGGGTAATCCTTTGTTTCTCCCGTGGGCATTGGGTGGTCTCGTGTTATACACAGGGTAAGGGCTTCTTCCGGGGCTTTGGGCCCCTCCAAACCTGTCCTGCCCAGAGCGGGGAAGTCGACTAAGCCGTGGCTTTGGAGAGGATCTGGGGAGTTCTTACATGCTTGACTCATTTGCTCATTTTTCCTCCCTCCCTCCCTGCCTCCCTCCCTCCTTCCCTTCCTTCCTTCCTGCCTTGCTTCTTCTCTCCCTTCCTCCCTCCTTCCCTCTCTCCTCCCCTTCTTCTCCTCCTCCTTCCCTCCGTCTCTCCCTCTTTATTTCCTCCCTGCCTCCCTTCCTTCTTCCCTTCCTTCTCATCCTGCCTTGCACGCACAGCCCTCCCCCCACTTACCTACAGCTCAGTTGTAGCTTCCAGAGACCCGACTTCCCTAGAGTACACCTCACACCTGGAATCATGGGAATTCCATGGAAATAGCCATGCTGCATTTAGGGCTTAACCACCAGAAGATAGTCTGTGCATGCTCAGTAGCGATGCGGTTTTGTCTGGGATATTTTGATCTGCGCTAGTGGAATATGTAAATACAGACATCATGAGAAGCCGGCTGCTCCTTAGAGTGTGCCCACCGTGTGCCAGGCACCTCATGCCCTGGTGTGCGAGTGAGCAAGGAGCTCTCATGATCACCCCCACTGTAAAGACATTGGGATACCCTGCCCAAGGTTGAGCAAGCTGCTGGCTGCAGAGCCCGGAAGCTGTGTGCCGACCCTTCTCCCTCTCCGGGAGCCAGACCTCTTTCCTAAGGAGCCTGCTCTTCAGGACTGTCCTTCTGGAGTCTGGCAGGGACCTGGCCACCTGTGAGTGGCGTGTGTGACACAAAGATCTTAGTGAAAAAGATGTCTCAAAGACGGTCACCTGCGTTACCCAAGTGTAAGGCTCATAAACGCTGGAGCACGCAGGATTATCCCCACCTGGCCCAGGTGAGGTCAGAGGTTCAGTCACACGCAGCACACTCTGGGCACCCAGGTCAGTGCCCCCGACAGTTGATGCCCACAAGAGGTGGTGACGCATTGAGCACCCCGTCCCCCCCTTCTTCCCTCCTTCCCCGCAGTCGGTGAGTCTGGAAGACAAGTTCTGGAATGCCACAGGAGCGGCCTTTGTCACGGTCCAGGAGAACGAGCAGGTGGCCAGGGCACTGGGGGCGGAGATTATTATGACGACGCTCCTGGCACTGGCCGTGTGCATGGGCTGCATCAACGGGAAGACGCAAGGTCCTCTGGCCCCATTCTCCATCGGCCTCTCCGTCACCGTGGACATCCTGGCAGGGTGAGTGTCCCCAAAACGTGGGGTTGCTGGGCTCAGATCCGGGCTAAGGGCTGGCTCAGGAGGTGGTGTGTGTGTGTGTGTGTGTGGTGCGTGTGTGTGTGGTGTGTGTGTCAGACACACACTTACCAAGGGGAGCCAGGACGGTGTTGCCGTGTGGGGGACTGGGCTGGCACTGGGCAGACAACAGGGAGTGGTGAGGACTGCGGTGTTCGAGGAGGCTACCGTTCTTTCAGTGCTAGTGTGAGTCTGGAACTACCCTCCTTGTACTTTCTTCCCAGGAGAGTTAGAAATCTGGATTTTTACATAAAACGTTCTTCCATTTTTTAGGCATGCATAGAATGACTCTACACTGTTGTATTCCTTCTGTGGCAGGAGGGCTTGACCCACTCTCTCCTTTGAGCCTCTCGGCAGGTTTGTGCAGGGATTAAAGAGACAAAGTTGGCTCTGGGATTATTTACTCTCATTTTATAGATGACATGAGGCAACAGGATTAATGTAAGGTGACCCAGCAGTGGCAAGTTAAGTGACCAATCTGGAACAAGAGCTGGTGTCTGCTGCAATGAATGAGGGAGCATCTCCTTCATGTCTGACTTGGTTTCTGTGGACACAGAATCTAGGTCGTTTCCCCCATCAGGATTTTGCTGCCTCCCATGCCCCCTTCCTGGGCACGGACGGACACACACACACACACACACACACACACACACACACACACACACACACACACACACACACACACACACACACACACACACACACACACACACACACACACACACACACACACACACACACACACACACACACACACACACACACACACACACACACACACACACACACACACACACACACACACACACACACACACGTAGTGACATGTTACTGCCCTCTAGTGGCATCTGCTTCACTTACAAGACTTTTTCAAAAAGAATTTTTGTTTTATTTGAAATGCTACTGGTTTACTTCCCAAGTGGCCGTGACAGCTGGAGTTGGGCTAAGCGGAAGCCGGGAGCTAGGAGCTGGGAGCTTCATCAGACTCTTCTACGTGCGTGGTTGGGATGCAAGCATTTGAGCCGTCATCCGCTGCTTCCCCGCTGCATTAGCAGGAAGCTGGATCAGATGTGGAGTGTCTGGGATTTGAACCAAGCACTCATATGAGATGCAGGTGTCCTGAGCAGCCATTTAGCTCACAACACCTGCCCCACTTATGAGATGATTGGATCCTGACTGTGGCTGCTGGGTCCAGGGGTGGAATGAGGTCTGCAGGACACTCCCAACCCAGTGAACGGCTGTGAGGACACAGACCCAGACATGGAAACAGAGAGGTGCGCTTCGAGAGCCTGGGCCCCCAGTCCATGGTGCAACAGGCCTTCAGCTGAGTCAGCATGATCGTAGTCAACATCTGTTGTACATTAACTACATACGTGAGGCCTGGGCTCTCACCCCCTGGGACAGGACTTCACATCTGTGGGGAAATGGCAAGCGGTGAAGCCAAGCTCACACAGCACTCAGTGGAATTAACTGTGCTGGGTTTTGCATCTGGGTCAACTTGATTCCAAAGTTGCTGACACCTGCTTGACTTTGCCTGCAGGCTTGGGTGAGGATCTGGGTCCATCTTCTCTTTCTGCTATCAGGGAGCTGACATTCCTGGCTGTTCTAGAAGGGTGGGTGGGTGGAGAGTGGCCAGGCAGGAGCCAGGCTATTGTTTTCTACCTCTTCACCTTCCTTGAACTCTGCCCAGGAGTGCCTGACATGATGAGGGAAGGGGCGGTGAGTTCAGAGAGGGTTTTGCGGGGAGCGGGCTGGTCAGGTCTCAGTGGGGGCCTGCTCGGGATCCTGGGAGCAGCATGGTTGGGTGTTTGCAGGGGGACCATATCTGGAGCCTGCATGAACCCTGCTCGTGCCTTTGGACCCGCTGTGATAGCCAACTCCTGGGCCTTCCACTGGATCTACTGGGTAGGACCACTCCTGGGTGGCCTGTTTGTAGGACTGCTCATCAGGTAGGCATGTAGCGGGCACATGCCCTGTGGGCCCCTGGGCTGGAGGGCCAGGTGGCCCTGGCTTCTGGGGTATCCAAGCAATGTCCCTGGGATGGGGTCTCTTTCCTGAAGGCCTCAGGTGGGGAACAGCTACCCTGCAAAATCATCTGGTCTGACCCCATCAAGTCAACCACAGGCAGGACTCAGAATTAAACGAACACATATCCGTAGCAGGCTGGTTCTTAAGTTGGTCATTGGTATGGCTGATACATGATGCTATAACACCTGAAGTTGATGTGGGCAGAGAAGAGGAACCCCCACCCACCCCTGCATCTCCCATCCCCTCCTCCTGCCACCAGACCCTCCTGTCTTCCTCCTTGCCACCACCATGTGGACACAGTTGCCAGCAGAGGCCCAGTGCTTGGCAGCCACGCTTGGCTTGCCTGCTAACAGCTGAACAATTCCAGAGGAAACACAGCTCTAGCAGAGCTCCTGCCGTCAATGCTCACTGGCTGGGGCCCTGTGCCCACGCCCCCATGCTGGGGTCCATCACTGTAGCCAGAGCGGTGCCAGGCAAGCAGTGTCCCAGTACGGATCTAGCCCTGCAGCCTTGACCGGCTGTGAGCATGGGAAGGGGGAGGATGAGCTTCCCCCGCAGAGCTGCTGCTGTCTGCCACCATGGGGTCATGTCCACCAGAAGGTGATGATGCCCCCCAGCAGCGGGCAGATCAGGGCGTGCCATTCGCATCAGATGCATGGTGAGCAGTGCTCCCTCTGTTCCTCCTGGTCCTCCCTTCTCAGACCCAGCTCCCCTTGCCCATGGGGTGGGGGTGGGGGGACACAGGCGGCAGTGTCTGGACTTTGCAGAAGCCGGGCCCACTTTGCACTGTCTGGAGGGGATCCAAGCAGCGTGAAAGCCTCGTGGGTCCTTCCGTGGCTGCTGCGGTTGGAATGGCGGCAGGGCACATATGTTGCCAGGAACCGGGCTGCGGACCAAATAGGAAGCAACGTCTCCCTCACCCTTACCTTCATCTGGCCCTTGCTGGACAGGCTCAGGGGGACATTTCCCTGGAGTATCCTGGACCTGCATGTTTGATGAGAGAGGCTCTTGGAAGAAAGAAACCCGACAAGGCTGTTTTTTTTTCCTAGGTTAATCATTGGAGATGGGAAAATGCGCCTAATCCTTAATGGACGGTGAAGGGAAGCTGGTGGGATTCCTGCTGTGCCAGGCGCCCTCAGCTGACCTTCCCTGGGCTGAGGCCAGCTTCTGCATTTCCCGCCAGGGCGAGGCCCACAGGAAAGGAGAGGCCGCCTGGCTTCCAGGGTCCGCGGGAGGCTGCCGGCTGGGGGAATTCTTTTGCTCTCCAGAGCCCTCAGCCAGGAACATGCTAACAGCATCCCCTGCCCCAGAGAGCACCGCAGACTGCCCAACAGCAGGGGTTTCTTTTTTCCCCCAAAGAGGAACGCTCACAGGAGCACCAGAGCAAAACAAAGCTGTTCCATCAGTTCCCCGCCTCCCCACCCACTTCCCACCACTGCCGCCCGCTTCTTCCAGCCTCTTCTCTTTCCCCGGCTTGTTCCTTGGGTCCTCTGTTACAGACTGGCCTTCTGGGGCCTGACCACTTCCTTGCTTCCGACAAAACTGATAATAAAATTTTCAGTGTTTCCTTCCATGCATCTGTTGTCTTGTTTTTCATTGGCCAAGTGGGCGCTGTGGCAGGGGAAGGAAGCAAACATCTGGGGTAGGTTAGCTCAGTGACATGTACAAGAGCCAGGCTGCATTGTGGGTCATGCTGGGCTAGAGTAACCACTGGCATGTGCAAGATCTGTGGCTGAGAACAGGCCTGGTTGGGGAGTTAAGGAGACACCCCAGCTGGTTTGTGGCTCCCATTGGTGAGCACCAGAGCAGGAATGAGCGTAGTGGCGATCTGGGATGGACATGACTGCAGGGACCCATGGCATGAGTGTGGACTGGGTTTGGGGTATGCCAGACTGGGCTAGACTCCAGCACCCTTCAGTGCTCTGGAGAGCCAGGGAGGGTATAACACGGGCTAAGCTAGATCTCGATACGCATTGAACCATGCAAGAGCACTGTGTCTGGGCGTAGACCAGGTGTGGCTGGGCTGTAACATCCAACAGTAAGAACCAGAATGGGTGTGGGCTGGTTGGCCAAGGCCACTGTTCCTGCCAGCACAGGAAGTGGACTAAGTCATTCTGGCCCAAGGACCCACCAGTGTGCATGAGATCTGCCACTGGGAGGAGACCTGAGAGAGGAGCTAGGGGAACTCTTTTGCCAGGGCACAGTCCCTGCAGCTGAGTGCAAGAACCAAGGCTGGGAGCAGCCCAGACCAGGCCAGGTTATGGTACCTGCCAGCATCTGTGTGGGTCAGGTCCGGGGGCGGGTCAAGCTGGGCCAGTTCATAACATCCACTGGCAGATCTGAGAACTAAGACAAGGTGTGGTTCAGCCTAGGTCAGACTGCAATACCAGCCAGTTCACATTAGGGCCACGACTGGGGGCTGGCTGGGCTGGACCAGGCTGTAGCACCCAGTAACATGAGCTAGAACTGGAAGCAGACCGGGTTGGGCTAGGCTACAGCACCCAATGGCCAATGCCAAGGTGAGGCAGGCCATGCCTGACTGGGCTGCAGCACACTTCAGCAAACAGACCTAGGGTGGAGTGTGAGCCTGGTAGGGGTGCTGAGGGACCCTCTGCTAGACCACCGCTCCCATTGGTGAGTGTGAGAACTGGGACTGGGGCAGACAAGACTGGGAAGGGTTGCAACACCTGTTGGCCTGCATGTGAACTGGGTTAGAGGGAGGGCCTCTCAAGGAGCAAAGTCTGGGAACCCGTCAGTCTGGCCGGCTCCCAGGCTTAGAGAGATTAAATAAGTGATGGCAGTCAGGCAGTTATCTAGAAACTCAGCTCAATTAGAATCTAGGATGTGGGACGCAGTCTGGTACTGGGTGTGTGCTGTCTCCTCTGGACTCTTGGTGGTAGAAAGACTGATTTCCTTTAACCAAAGCAGCCTTAAGTCCTCACAGGCTGTGCTGTCGGAAAGTTTGGCATTACACTCTTGTCTGTCAATGTATTGTTAAATAACTCTGGGACCCTTCAGCCATCCAAAAGGCTCCAAAAGACAAGTGCCATTGTTCTCCCTGCCACATGGTGCCGCTGTTGGAAGTGGTTCTGAGACGCCCAGGCCACAGCGGCTTCAGGAACATCATCCCAGCCAAGGTCCTCTGCTTGCTGCCCTGGCTCTTTGCTCGTATATTCAAACAATCCTTTAGGCCTTTCTGACGCCTCTTCCCCCCCGCCCCCGACCCCCAATTCCTCCTCTACTCTCTCCCATTTTCTTTCAGAGTATTCCTACACGGCTCCAAGTGGGTTTATGCGTGTTAACGTGTTTATTTTGGAACCCAAAGCCATTGTTCTCTCTCCAAGTTCCTGGACCGGTGATGGAGTTGCTGGGAGCTGTGATTAGCTGTGTTCTTTTTAGTACTTGCATGCTCTAAGATTGTGCAGGAATTTTATGTGCCTTTATCTTGGCATTCTCTAAAAAAGGACTGCCCCCATTCATTTAAGGAAAATGCAGAAGACACACTTAGGGGAACTGTGGGTTAAAGTGTCGCTTGCAATAGCAGCAGCCTGTAGCAAAGAGCAGATTCAAGTCCCGGCTGCCCAGCTTCCCTCGCAGCTTCCTGTTAGTGCGCCTGGAGGCAGGGCCTGATGGCTCAAGTGTGTGAGTCCCTGGCACCCACAGGGGAGACTAGGATGGAGCTCCTGGCTTCAAGCCGGCCCAGATCTAGCCGTTTTGGCCACTTTGTGAAGTGAATCAGCGAACAACAGGTCTGTCTCTTCCTTTCTGTTGCTGTGCCTTTCAAGTAAATGGATCTGGGCCTCATGTGACGGCACAGTGACTGAAAACCTTCAAGTAAATCAATCTTAAAACCAAGACCGAAAAAAGCCCGCCGGGACTCTATAGATGGCAAGGCCCTGAAGGTACAAGCTGGGCAGTTGTGGAGGTCCCGGGTGCCGTGACAGCCTGCTGCACAGCTTCCAGGCTTGTAAAACCCACGAGCTGGACACTTGAGAATCCAGCTGCTTAGTGAACTGGTTCTGACCTCCCCCTGTGGCTCTTCCTGCAGCTCCTGCACAGGGTTAGAAATGAGCAGCAACAGCTGTGGACTCACGGGGGGGGGGGGGGGCTAGTCATGAACTGAGACTGACATTCTTTTTATCAGCTACTCTGATTTTTTATACTGGAAAGCCAGATATACAGAGAGGAGGAGAGACAGAGAGGAAGATCTCCCGTCCGCTGATTCATTCCCCAAGTGGCTGCAATGGCTGGAGCTGCGTCAATCCAAAGCCAGGAGCTTCTTCCGTATCCTCCACGTGGGTACAGGGTCCCAAAGCTTTGGGTCGTCCTCCATTGCTTTCCAGGTCACAAGCAGGGAGCTGGATGGGAAGTGGGGCTGCTGGGATTAGAACTGGCATCCTCATGGGGTCCTGGCACATGCAAGACAGGGACTTTAGCCACTAGGCTACTGCACTGGGCCTACTCTGATTGGCTTTTAAATTCTTGAATTAAAAGTTTTATTTTACACTCTCCTCCAATTTTTTTGTTTTGTTTTTCTCCTCCAAATTTAATAGAAGATATCCTTTACAATATAGAAGAAATGAATGGAAGCCGTTTATTTTAGACATTTATTTCACATACAGGCCTTCAGGAAGACATCTAGGTGAACATTAATACGAAACGATGAACATACAGTTACACTTGGTCTGGGGAAGCATTCATCAGAGAGAAGCAACAGTTCACAGTTTTATGAGGTACCGGCTCCTTTCACTCGGGAACTCAACGCGTGCTCCTGGCTGTCTCATCTGTGAGCAGCCTCTCTTCCCTTCAGGCCCCTGTCTTTGGTGATCAGGGTGCCTGGGGGGCTGACCGCTGTGGCTGTGGCTGTCTTGTCCCTTTCCTGAAGCAGGAAACACACGGGTACTGCACGCAGGCTGGGAGCCCGGCCGAGACTTCTCCCTGCTGTGTGTTACACCCTACAGCCTCATCCAACATTAGATCCTGGACAGTCCTGCCAATCAAGTCCAACTTTTCTGCAGAACAGGAACTTGGACCAGTCACCACTCGGGAAGGGGTGATGAATGGCAGGACCAACACCTGTCTCTTTCGGTTTCTGGACTTATGTTCCTCTCACAACCTGTGGGCTGTCCTGAGCTTTTCATGTGTATATGTAAGGTTTCCTCTTTAAAAAAAAAACTAAGGTTTCGGGGCTGGCACATTGGTGAACAGGGTCATTCTCTCCCTGTGGTGCCAGCATCCCATATGGATGCTGGTTCATTCCCAGCTGCTCCACTTCTGAGCCAGTTCCCTTCTAATGGCCTGGGAAGGCAGCAGAGGAGGGCCTGAGAGCTTGAGCCCCTGCACCCATGTGGGAGACCTGGGAGAAGCTCCTGGCTCCTGCCTTCAGACTGGCCTAGCTCTGACTGTTGCGGTCATTTGGGGAGTGAGACAGAGGATGGAAGTTTTCTCTTTCTCCCCGTCTCTCCATAATTTTTTAAAGTAAAATAAATGTCTCAAAAAAACCATTAACATTCCATTCCCAATGAATGAACTGGATTGAGTACATAATAACATCAGTAAGTTCAAGAGGTGTCTGTGAGAGGGACAAACAAGCCTTGCTAGGAAATACAAGGTTCATTCTAAAATACCTCGGATAATGTGTCAGAGAATGAAGTGTTTATTGGCTTATTTTATTTTTTCAAAAACAGGATTTGAGGCAATCCCTAAAGAAATAAGGCAGAATTAAATAAACAGAAGTTTAGACAGCTGGTTGAGGAGTGTCTTACTAAACTTTCCAGAAGCCAGCCAGACAAAAAAAGCAGTAAGTTAACAGAAATTATATGTTAAAAAAAATCACAGTGTTTATAAGAGAAGCTGCCCCTTTCCTTATTTTTGCTTAAGTTTACAGCATTCCCTGGTACTGAGATACTGAAAAAAAGCTTTTCCTATGGACCTTCATACAGGCAATGTGATGTAACAGACATTTTAACTCCTATGCCTCAGCTGAAGATAAAATGCAGCAGACAAGTCGCCTTGGGCTAAGATGATGACAGAACATTCCATTTCTTCAGAACAGAGACACGTCCCTGAATTAACACACACAGTCCACGTTCCTTTAGGAATCTAGGTAGCAAAGCCTACATCCCACTTCAGCTGGCCCTGCTGCATGTGGGAGAAATGATTTATCCCCCGAGAGCAGGAGTGGGCCTTGAAATTTTCCTGCCACTTGGAGAGACAGAGGTACCAAATATAATTTTGGGCATTTTAGACAAACTCCTTTGCAAAGGAAGATGAGGAAGATGATCTACTGACTTTGATAACTAGCACAGGTGTAACCATGTAATTATCTTTTGTTGCAATACTTCTTCTATCATATTTTAAAAACATTTTTATTGGAAAGTCAGATATACTTAGGAGGAGAGACAGAGAAGATCTTCCATCTCCCCATGTGGCTGCAATGGCCAATACTGAGCAGATCTGAAGCCAGGAGCCATGAGCTTCTTCCGAGTCTCCCACTTGGGTGCAGGATCCCAAGGCTTTGGGCCGTCCTTGACTGCTTTCCCAGGCCACAAGCAGGGAGCTGAATGGGGAGCCGGGCCACTGGGATTAGAACCAGCGACCATATGGGATCCTGGCACATGTAAGACAAGGACTTTAGCCACTAGGCTACCAGGCCAGGCCCTCCTCTATCACACTTATAGGTTCCTGGAGAACTGGCAACTTGCCCCCATTTTAAGTTTTCATTTCTCTTTGTGGCTAGAACATGACCTAACATGTAACAGTGCTTAATAATAAATATTTATGAATGAGTCATCTATCTTCCTGAATCATGCTTCCATACAATTCTCAATCCTGTGTACATATTACTAAGCAATGATTAATATTTATGCGTGTCTTCTCTAGAGCTGGAATTCTAGAACATCTACATAACGTAAGCACGGGCCCACTGGCACACACCACACACAGCTCACTGTGCTAGGCATACTACTGACATGAAATCACGTGTCATTAGACATCTATAAATTAGACAACACAGAGGAAGTCAACCTACTGGGATGTGAACAATTTTAAGTTAACATGGCCAACAAATCAGAAACATTTATCAATGGTTACCTGAGTCACCTGCCTTCCAACAGGCCACACCCTCTTCTGACGACACAAATCACATTTTTTTCTACAGTGCCTATCCGCCTTGGTACTTGGCTGAACAGCTGCAAACATACTTCAAGGAAGAATATTATCTCCACATGTCTTCAAACAAGAGAACATTTGACAAACAAAGAGAGAGAACAGCAAAAGAGTAACTTATACACATTTCTGACTCTGGGGGGCTTGTCCTTCCCCAAAGCCAAACTGCCTTGGGTCATGTACGTAGGAAGGGTGCAAGCGCCACCAGTGTCATCCTTTTGCAAGTGGCCCTAATTCCGATTCCTGGTTTTTTTCTTAAACTCCATCAGTGAACTAGCCACTCCTCCTCCTGTCTGAAGGTACATGAGGAAAACAGAAATTCTCATTAGGAAGTTTCTATAAATTATTTCAACTTTCACTCAGTGGGCTGTGGGGTTGCATGAATTACACAGGCCTCCACTTAGTTTTACCATCCTAATGACAGGAACCAGAAGCATCGAGAACAGGAGACTGGTCTACCTGAAAGTCAGCCCTGGATTAAAGGGACTCTCTGGTCTACAGCAGGCCTAAGAAACATCAATATTTCAGATCTCCAATGCACACTTCTTCCCTAACCCTTTTAATATCTCAGAAACACCACTATAATTTTCTAGTGAAACTTGGGGGAGGGCATTAGGTCAAGTCTAGATAAGATTCTGGAGAGCTACAGGGTAGATCTAGAGTGTTCCTAAAATTCTACTTTGAGGAGACACTCAGTGAGCATGCATCCTGAGGGGGGTGCGGCAGTGCTGGAGTCAGACAAGAGCACCTGGGACAATCAGGAGATCAGCGTAGGGCTTATGGCAAACAGAGCGACCGGGAGATGGGAGAAGCAGCAGCTGATGGGAGTAAAGTCTTCAGAAACAGAAAAGATGATGTATGATCAACTGCTTCTCGTCTTGAGGGAGGGCCAGTGACAGTACAGAGATTGGACTCTATTTGGGGTAACTTCTTGACAGGAAAAGACTTTTCGACAGTAGCAGATTTCTGAAGGAAGTTATCAGATCTTCACTGTCCGTTTGGTGACTATCTTCAAAACTAAGATAGATTTTGATGCACTTCTGAACAGATTCCTGAAAATTCTATCCAAATGTGAAAATCCATTTTCAAGTTGCATCCAGGATCTTATATAAATAATAATAATAATAATAATAATAATAATAATAATACCTTCCACTTTGTGTATCTCTTTGAAAACAATTCACTCACAATGAGGGATCTTAAGGAATGAAGCAGAACTTGGCAATCCTGCAGCAGTGGCCTCAACAGGCTGGAGAATCTCTCATTCTGAACTCAGACAGTGTGTCTTCTCCGAGACGCTGAGATTCAGATGGAGAAAAACAGACTGATTGAGACAGAGGTGAGGACACGATGCCAAGGCTTCAGTTTATTCACATTCTCGTTTGTTTTGGGAATTACACTTTACAGCTTCCGTGACTGAGAGTAGGGTAAAGATGGCTCACGGGACAATTAGGAAGAGAGGAAGCCATCATCAAAGTGCCTTCCTGAATTCCTCAGTCTCGCCCTTCAGTGGGTTCTCTGGGAAATACACGGATGGATGGTGTGACGGCAGCTTTTCTTTCAGGTGAACCTCCCGGTGTTTGGTAAGAACAGAGCTCTTACTGAAATGCTTGCCACACTGGGCACATCCATAGGGCCTCTCTCCGGTGTGCATTCTGCGATGTTCTCGAAACCTTGTGCAGTTATTGAAACTTTTCTCACAATCCACACATTTGTAGGGATTCTCGCCAGTATGGACTCTCCTGTGGGCACTGAAGTGAGAACTGTTGGTGAAGCTTTTCCCACACTCTCCACACTGATAAGGCTTCTCGCCCGTGTGGGTTCTCTGATGTATAATCAGACTAGAACTTTGACTAAAGCATTTTCCACACTCTCCACATCTGTAGGGTTTCTCTCCTGTGTGGATCCGTTGATGGGCACCAAAGTTGGAGGAGTCGTTAAAGCTTTTCCCGCAGTCAAGGCATTTGAAAGGTTTTTCTCCTGTGTGGATTCTTTGGTGTCTGACCAGGCTCCTGCTTCTACCAAAGCACTTTCCACAGACACTGCACTTGTAGGGGTTTTCCTTCTGGTGGGTCATCCTGCACAAAAGACGAGCACTCCTTCCGAAGCTTTCTCCGTATCTGAGGAGCCTGTAGGGCCTCTTCCCCAGGAAAGGCCTCGGATGCACGACGACGGCTCTCCCTGTGTCTCTCAGCTGAGACATTAGTTTTCCCTGCCTAATTCCTTGGAGGTTTTCCCTTTGTCTTCCTGAGATGAACTCTCTTTTGCGACATTTATTTGGATCAGTGTTCTGTGCAACAGCTCTTTCAGACTTCTCCATGAATGCTCTATGTTGCTCCATGTCCTTATAGATGATCTGTGTCGGACCCTCCTTGGTACTACTATCAATTTCAAAACCTGAAAAAAAAAAGACGACATAAATTTCACTTAACTCCTGTATCCACATAAATAATCAGCCTAACCTGCCAGATTTGATATGTTACACTTCCTAGCTACCTCCTTGGCCTCAGATATGATGACTCAGATACGACTCCTGGGTTTACTGTGCAGTATTTTCTTCCCATTCCATGAACAGGCCAATAATATCCAGTACTGAGTGGGCCTTGAGACATATTCCCAGAATTGGACTATGATTCCAGCCACTATCCCTGCTTGTATTACCACTAACTTGGGAGCAACCTGGTTTATCCCATGTGGTTATACTCACATTCATCCTATTTTGATTTCACATCTATATGAAAATATGGTACAAGTGTGTAGAGTCTAATAATCAGGTCTAAATTCTTCAAAGGTCAATTCATTGACGTCCAATTATATCCTACCCAAGAGTATTTTCCTTCTTGGCCGATGTTCAAATCACTTTTTCTTCCCCTAGCTGTCCCATAGATGATATTACCTCAAATCTTCTTACTGTTTTCCAAACTGGAATTACCTTCTTTTTAATCTTTGCCGCACATTCACTGTAAGATACATTTTAGGACAAGCTTTTCCATGAATTCTTCTGGGCAAACAGCATAATACAGTGAAGAGACACAAGTTTTGGGTTCAAACAATTCTGGTTTTGGCACATGTATTGGTCTCTATTACATGTATGAGTTCAGCATTAACTTTCCATCATGGGAAATTCAAACACAGAGAAGTTAAGAGAACAGCATGTGTCAGGCTCACGTTGTGATGCAGTGACTAAGGTTGTCATCTGAGACACCAGTATTGCATATGGGAAACCAGTCTGAGTACTGGCTGCTCCACTTCTAATCCAGCTCCCTGCTAGTGCACCTCGCACGGCAATGAGATGGCCCAAGTACCTGGTTCCCTGCACACATGTGGGAGATCTTGAAGAAGTGTTTGGGTCCTGGTTCCGACCTGGCCCCATGCCCAGCCATGTGGCCATTCGGAGAGTACATCATCAGGTGGCAGTCCTGTCTGTCTCTCCCTCTATCTTTCAATTAAATAAAAATAAAATAACAGAAGAGTACGTTAATGAATTCTCACAAAGCACTTACCTGCCTTTAACAACAATCTGTTCATGGGAAATTCTGTTTCATTTCTATTCCCACATATTCTCTGTCCCCTCTGTCTATACTACCTAGAAACAAATTCCAGACACACACTACTTCAATAAACATTTCACTGTGTACCTTGGGCCCACTGAGGCTTGATTCCCCAAGCCTTTGTTATTAAGCATTTGTTATATTGTCTTGTTTCTACTTATCAGTTTCCTTATTGCCTTCCTTCCACACATTCAGTGGAAAAGGCTTGTAAGTCTCAAATCCGAGAAAGGTGGCTGTGGCATGGGCTGGGGAGAGGACGGAAGCCACCTGCTGGTCCGTCAACTGGAGCAGAAAGCCCTAATCCATCTTTCACCGAGCAGTGGTTCTTCCAAGGCTTTGACTGAATCCAGTGGGAGGGAATCTCAGCCTAGTAGTTGAACCAGACGGGGCCCGCACATTTAGGTACAGGTCTAGTGTTGACCTTTAAAACAAGATACACTAGGATTTCACTTTCAGAGTTCTCAAAGCCAAAGTTATATGAGATCTGATTTAAGCTTTCAAATGGCAATTTCTCGTATTACCAGAGTGAACGTGGTAAAGTCACTTCTCTAATGTAAGCGGATATTACCTTCCCTTGTGCCTCTTAGTTCCCAGTCAGTTCCGACAGAGCCACCCTCTTCAAGGAATCAGTACTGTACAGTGCACACATGCAGGGTACCAACCCTGTGGGCTTCACGCAGTGCCACACAAGGACAGAGTGCTGCTCCTTCGGGTGCTCATCATGTCCTGGGGGATTTCAGGACATGCAAAGTGTTTAGTGGCAAAAAACAGAGGGAGACAAAGTAGGGGAGCTGAGAGTTAGAGCTTAGACATGCACGCAGGTAGCGCTAAGGGCACTCAGGCAGAGGTGAAATCATGAAACATCTCACAGCGTATGAGGGAAGCAGCACATTTTGGACAAGGACACGGTATAGGATGGAGAACGCTAACCAACACGCCAGCCAAGGAGAGCAGGACGGGCTTTAGTTAATGATGGGGAAAACGGGCTTAGGAATTTTCACCATAAAATTTCAGCATCAAAGACAGAGAGAAAACCTCAGCTAGAGTAGGGGACTGAAGGGGGAGAGAGATGAGAGGGTCTGTGACAGCTGATCAACTGTGTCATCTGCTTTGATGTAAGTGATGAGGAAGGAGACAGTAAACTCGCCTGTGAGGTTTTTAAGTCTGAATGTGCTGTCGGAGCACACGGGGGGGGACCGTGACGTGGGATTTTAGCTCTGACAGTTAAGTTGGCTCCGCTACCCACATGCTAATGGGAGCATCTGGGAGTCAGTGGGAAACATACAGGTGGATGCAGGACCAGAATAACAGTTGAGAACATATAATATTACACATCTTGTCTTTAGGCACATCACACATAGGTCTGAAACATTTTTGTTTTGAGCATATTGATATATCTCCCTCATTCAAGTTGTTTTCTTCTGTATAATTCTAAGTTCTCCTTGTTCACAGTGATTTCCAAGAGATACAAAACACTGTTTGACCAATACACATGAAAATCAAGGCTGAGGGCCTGGTGCAATGGCCTAGTGGCTGAATCCTGACCTTAAATAGCACTCAAATATTTGCTGAATAAGTATTCATAAGCGATATGCTCCTCACCTGATTCTCAGTAACTTACACTAGTTCCTCTTTTAGTTCTTTTAGACTAAAACCTCTTGCTGATCCTTACCGTTTGGGCTTTGGAGTCGACGTGGGGGTTCTTGGAATTCTGGTTCTTGTAAGATTTCCTCTTCGCTCATTCTCTCACTGTCAGAATCTTCTATCACTGCCTCTTGTGAGGATTCTTCAGGCTCCCAGCCTGTAGGTTCCTGGGGTTCAATCTCAATAACCCCTCTTGCTTGTCTCGAGGGCATCAGGATCTCTTCTGGGGGGTCGGTGGAAGGGGCAGGGGCCCGAGAGTTGACCAGGGCGTCCATCTCCTTGTAGAATGCGCAGGACTCTAACACGTGGCCGTTTTTGACTTTGCGGTAACTCTTCTGGAGGCTTTTGAACTTAGTTCGGCACTGCTCTGGAGTTCGGAGGAAGCCACACTCCCGCAGCTGTCCGGCCACAGCCCCATACAATTTGCTCTTCCGATGACAGGCTTGCAGCGCTTCATAAAAGCGAGTCTCACGGAGAATGTCAAGAAAGGTCTTGGTTTCTTCATAGCCCCAGTGCACGCCTGTATTCAAGGGTAAAGCGAAGGGTGTAAGAAGTCTGTAGTGTTTTACACTACATATATTAGGGGTTAAAAAAAACCCTCTATGATGGACTTGGGAATATGCTTTGCAAGGAATGAAGAAGTCTCTATAAAAATACTCTTTAGTTTTTATTGAAAGGTATAAAAGAACTTGACAAATGAGATGCTATGGTCTTAGATGGGGAGACTTAAGTTGTACAGGTACCGATTCTCAAGCGAATCTATAAAGGCAAAAATCCCAAGAGCATTTTAAAACTGAAGCTGCCAAGCTGATCACAGAGTTTATTTGGAAGAATAAGACGTGAGCCCTCAAGTCTATCACTGCCATGGTGACTACCACGAGGCTCCAGCTGTGTAGAGTGCTGCTTTGCCCAAGTGGACGAGAATAATGGGTAAGGAAACTCAAGTAAGGGCATTTCTCCTAAAAGTCTCACTCACTCCTTTGCCCATCTTTCTTGATAAGAACTACGAGTGGTTTTTCTTTATGCCACTGAGTCCTCACAACTTTGAGAAGTGACACAAACTGCAAGACAAGCAGTTGTTCTGTATTTATAGCCAGAACAAAATTCTTCAAAACATGTCTGAGTCCAATGGGCTAATCATGTTTTTTGTTTGTTTGTTTTCAGTGGTTGAAAAGGGATTTCTTTCTCTTATTTTACTGGATTGTCTCATCCAGTCTTATATCATCCCATATTCGAGACCATCCCAAGAGCCCCATCCTCATATTTATCAATGTGCAGGTTGGTGAGCACCTGCATTTGCATAATGCGCTTTGTCATCTTTGCAGCAGATGTAGCCATGAATGCATTTATAACTCTCCTAGCCTGATTTATTTTTCCTTGCTAAAAACTGAACCCTTTTTTCATAAATTTGAGTGGAAAAGCACTGCTGATAGGTGATGTCAGGAAATGGTGTACTGTATATACTGTACTTCAGCACTGTTAGAGCCCTTTACCCACACGTCACACACTGAGACAACCCTGTAAGGCATTCCTAGTCACGTTGTACAGAGAGAATTTGATGAGAAAAAACTGAAGCTCAAAGTAGTTCCACGATATTTTTGCTGTCAAACACTTATCAGCCAGAAGCTTAATTCTGTATAACCAAGTCCTCAAATATTCAATTTCAGTTTTCTCTTGCACGGCATAACTTTCTTTGATTTTAATGTCTTGTGTTTGTACATTTAAGATATACCTTTTGTAAGCAACATAAAGGTATTTTTAATGGCTCATGATGTTAACCTTTAAGTTTGTAATTAATGATACACTGACTTGCATCTATCGTGTGACTATTTTTTTCTATTTGATCCTGTTTGTGTTCTTTTTTTCTCTCCTTTCTTGCCTTGAGATTAAGCAAACATTTTTACTAAATTATTTTCATCCTTTTAATTTGTTACATACGTATTCTTTCACAAGACAGTACTTGAGTATCCCAGGCACTCAAATAATGCATCTTTGACCTATACAATCTAACAGAAATGGTTGCACTGCCAGTTCTCAAATAACAATCCTCAGAGTTCACTCAGCTCCATATATTTTTCTTCCACGAGTCCCTGAATACTCAAAACCCACGCTGACCTCTAAAGTGAAAAAGAACTCATGTGGCCAACCTCACCGCGAACAGCAACAAACACTGTCAGTACGTTGATACGTGCCGTGGAAGTGGCAAGTCACTCGCGCAGCTCTCCCCAGAGCTGGTCACTACTGAGTTACTCCTTTTTCAACACTATTACATATCAGTTTTTAAAAATCAGAAAACAAGCACAATTCTTACCACTCAGATTTTGAAACAAGACAGGGGCACCACGTATCTTAGATTTGCGGATAAATTCAATGCCCGTTTCGTCACAATCAGATTCTTCTGCGGCTTCCTCGCGCTCTACTGAACTGATGTGTTGTTTAGCACCAATGCCGATGCTCTTCAGTCTGGGGAGAGAGAGCACCTCCTTTGGTTTATCAGAGGACGAAGCATGGGCTGCAGGGTTGAGCAAGGCATCCATGTCCTCAAAGAAGGCACAGGGCTCCAGCAGGTGGCCGTTCCTCACCTTCCGGTAGCTCTTCTGGAGACTTTTGAATTTGGTGCGACACTGCTCTGGGGTTCGCAGGAAGCCGCATTCTCGCAACCACTCAGCCACAGCACCGTAGACCTGGCTGTTTCGGGGACAAGCCTGAAGCGTTTCATAAAAGCGAGACTCTTTGAGGATTGCTAGGAAGGTCTTTGTTTCCTCATAGCTCCAGTGTACGCCTGCTATTTTTTCATCTTCTAAACCCCACTGCTGCTGCTCTCTCCATGTCTTTCCTGCGTTGATCGCAGGGATTTGAACAGCATGAACCGACTTTTCCTTAACGTAGCTGCTTCTCAGGATGCTTCTCTTATTAGAGGAATGCAGGCTTACAGTCCACGGCTCCTTTCTTTGTTCCAACCGAGCAGTCTTGTTAGAGGTAGACACTGAACTTCCTACAGTAAAAGAAACACACTTCACGGTAGACAGAGAATTCATAACTGCATGCCTCAGTCTTTGGGTGTAGCGTGCTCTCCTGGGCTGCTCCTTCATGCCAAAGCCTCCCTCCATCATGACAATGCACGCTGTGGTTACTCTTACGTATCTGACATAATCACCTAACTCATACTTATTCCTGATGTAGGTATCCTTCCTTTCCTACATGTTTCTTAAGAGAAAAACCCTTAAGGATAAGAAATTTGTATTTTATTGCTTCCAATTCCCCTTTAGTAGCTAACATTATATCAGGGTTCACAGTATGCTCCTGACTAGTATTTGTTAATTATAAAAGAAACCATGTTTGTATTCCTTCCATGAACATCCCAGCATCACACACAAATACAAACACATGGACTGTGAAAGGTGTGAAGTCAAGAATTTCTGTCAAACTATGTTACAATGCTACAATAACCAAACGGTATGTTACCAGTATAAAAAACAGATTAAACCAGGGCTGGCACAATAGGTCAACTAGTTAATCCTTCCCCTGTAAGTGCCAGCAACCCATATGGGTATGGATTTGTGCCCTGGCTGTTCTACTTCTTATCCAGTTCCTGTTTGTGGTTTGGAAAGCAGTGGAGGATGGTCCAAAGCCTTGGGATCCTGAACCCACAAAGGATCTGTACAGTTATTTTTACCAAGACATACAAATGGTGGTAAGGTACATGAAAAGGTGTTTAATATCACTAGTCAGTGGGGAAAATATCCATTAAAACCACAGTGAGGTATATCCCACAGCCACGGGTTCATATGTTGAAGAGAAACCAACAGTACTACCGCTAATTGCTAAGGCATGGGGGTGACTTAGGTGTCTTCTCTAGATGAATGGGTAAGAACTGTGGTACAGAATGCATTGTGAAAAACAATTTAAAAATTTTAAAATGTGGTACGCATACGCAATGGCATATTATTCAGCTTCTAAGAAGAAAGGAAATTCTGTTACTTGTGACTATTAGGATGAACATGGAGGCTCTTATGCTAAGTGAAAGAAGCCAGGCCTGGGAAGATAAACAATGCATGATCTCCTGTCTGTCTGAAAGTGTCCAACGCACAGTAGCAGAGAGCTGAGGAAAGGGTATGGAATTCCAGCAGGAGCAATGAGCTTTACTGATGTCCTGCACAGACTGGCAACTGAGGTAAGATAGTAGTGTACATCCCCAAATTCCCAAGCAATTTTAAATGCTGCAACCACAAAAAAAGTACGTGAGCTGATGAATCTGTTAATTAGCTTGATTTACTCAAAACATCATATTGCACTCCATACATGTACACAATTACTAGCAATTTCACAGAACAAGGTCAATGTTGGCGAGGCTGCAGGGAGAGCGAAGCCATTCTGCAGAGCTGGGAGGAATGTAAATTGATACACTCATTGTGGAAAACAGCACAGCAGTTCCTCGGAAGATTTAAAACCAGAGCGATCGTATGATCAAGCAATCCCATTTCATATGATGGAACTAAACTGGTATGTGGAGGAGTTAACTGCAGCCCAAGCCTGCTGCAGCATGATTCACGACAGCTCAGACACAATCCAGGTGCTTGTTGACAGAGGAATGAATGAGCAAAAGTTGTACTTTAATTTGGCCATTAAAGGAAATGCTGCCATTTGCGACAACACATATGAACGGAGAGCTTCTATCAGGTGAAGTCAGCCAGAGACGGGTGAACATCGTACTCATCACATAGCTCAGCTACACGGAGGACCCAGAAACGCTGACTTCACAGAGAGAGTGGAACGGCGGCTGCCGGGTGCTTAGAGGGGAGGGAAGCAGGGCAAGGCTGTACAATGGTCAGGCTCTGGGGAGCGAACGTCCGACACGGTGACTCCGGTTAACAAAGCTGTGTACAGACGTGAAGTTGCTAATGAGTACATCACTAGTGTTCTCCGCACACACCGGGACACAAATATGTGAGGTGATGGCTGTGTTAACTAACTTCACCGGTAAACTGCAGTGTATATGCATATAAAACCATCAGCATTTGCATCTTAAACATGAGTACATTTTATTAGTTATACTTTAATAAAACTGGGAGAAAAACCTGCGACAGGAGAACTTAATTTTCAAACAGTTATAGGCATCCACAGATACACATGGCAAATAATGTGGAGCTGTTTTGCATAAGGGTGGGGCTGCAGAGGAGACTTATTATAACTTAGCATCTCGTTCTAAGGCACAAAAAATCTGACTTTTCCTCAAGACAAAGTGAACTCCACTTTCTATTATTAGGAGAGACATCACCTGCAATGATACACTCTAAAATCATTAGCATGTACTTTCACAGGTATTCATGCCAAACAAAATATTGCATTAACTGAAAAAATAAACTTTTAGGGACATTCTGGAGAAGTTGGGGACATTCTAGAAAGCTGTAAGGACAGGACTGGAATTCAGAGCTTGCTACCTGAGAACCCTGAAGAAATCAACATGTCTTAAATCTGAATCCTAGCTAGTTTGCTTACTTTGTTTTTAGACCAGCAGAAGTTCCTTAATCTTTCTAAATCTTGGCTTCCCGGGGAAATGATACTATCTATTCAAAGAGGTGCCGGGAAAATTAAATAAATGTTCATTTTATAAGTATCCAATGCCCAACAGGAATGGAATGACATTTAGCTTTGTTTCCCAGACAACACAAAAAGAAGTTTCAGGATTTGACAGAAGCAACATCAACCCGAACCTGCCTGACAGCACCCTGCGGAAGGAGGGTTACTCCATTTCTACAAGAGAAAAGCAGGTATGCAGACAGGGCAAGCACACACACCTGAGGGACTGGGCAGGCAAAGTCCACTGTGAAGGAGGTTGGAGCGAGAAGTGCAGTCAGTAGGCGAGCGTGAACCCTTCACTCAGCTCTGGCCCTTTGCTGCCATACTGGAAAATGGGCCCAATGTGTCCAACATTGGATGTATGAAGAGACAGTGGAAATTCAGATTTACAAACTTATTTTAAATCAAAACACCATGTGGGCCAAAATATATTCCAGTGGCAGATTTAGCCTTTGAGCCACCAACAAAACGTAGGAGGCGGTGGCTCTGGAACTGGGATTTTGCACATGAAATCAGTTAGGTGAAATCTGAATTCTCAAAGTAAGGTCCCTTCCCACAGGTAGATCTTTCCGAGGACTCCAGTTCAGTATTTTGCTAGATCTGGATGTTGTGTGAGATTTCCAAGGAAATGGTAGGAGACATTTGTATGTGCCTCCTAAGCCGAGATGCCAGCTGCTGCTTTTGTTCTTCAAACGCCCACTTGAAGTTAGTGTTTCTTTTATAACTATCCTAACTGCTTTCTAATGATAAACAATGTCGCTATGCTTTTATCCATTTAGTCCAATGTGGCTCATTTCATACTCTATGCTGGTAATATATGTATGTAGCCTGGCCAGTAGAACATTCTGTGATGATGGAAAAGTTCTGTAACAGTGCTGTCCAACAGAACTATCAAATGTTTTAATCACGGCTACTGCCACTGAGGAGCTGGAATTTTAGCTTAATTGATATAACACATTTAAAGAGCCACATCTGGCTGGTGGCTACTCTATTAGGAAGCATAGGTATAAACCACCTGTGATGTGGATTAGTGTGCATTTCCGACCCATAATTTTATTCGTAAGAAAATTTTAACTTATGAATCAAAGCTCACATATGAATGAATCACACTTATGTCTCATGTTAAAATGCATGAAGATAATTATCCAAAAGACCTGCCCGCAGAGCGACACTTCAGTGGTTATGTACGCCCAAAGACCTGTGCTATTCCATCACCAAGGGATGGGTGCTTGGCCTAATGGTTAAAGCCACTGTGTGGGAAGCCTGTTTCCCACATCAGTGTCGGGGTTCAAGCCCTGACTCTCCTGACTTCAGCCTTCTAAGGCACATAGTGGAAGGCAGCAGCCATGGCTCAAGGACCTGCTGCCCTGACACACTCAGGGCAGACCTGGAGAGAGCTGCTGGCGCGACCACAGCCACTGGGAACATTTAGGCAATGGTCGAGCAGGCAGCGGCACTCTCTCTCTGCTGTTCTCTTTCTCTGCCTCTCATGCACATAAAACATTTTCAAATAATTCACCACATGCTATTGCTTTTTCGCCCCTTACTTTTTCAGTGTTTCCATTCATCCAACAAATAATGGGCATGCACGTGTAAATTAAAGATCTGGCTTATGTGTCGGAGTTACTATGATAAAATGAAAACAAATCCTGAAAAGAGCCTGTGACTTAACGCAGCTTCTAGTCTACTGGATGTGTGTAGATTCATATTTTTGATAATATGATAGTCATATATGATTCCTCTTCACTGTTTTAATCACTACACTCTCAGTACTTTTTAAATAGCAATGAGGACATGGGTGAGGTAAGGAACGTAGTGAGGGACTACACTTGGTAACTCAACGCGATCCTTTAAGTGTTAATATGGACATATCTTAATGCTGACATCATCAGCAGAAATGAGTATGTCAGAAACTCCCAAGTCTTCTATTTGAAAAGGGAAAGAATTCTTACCTAGGGAGACAGTACTTCTGACACCCCCCTTCCTGACATCGCGGCAGAGGTCTCTGGGAGCAGGAATCTGGTGCAGGCTCTTCTTGTAGGAGAAACCTCTGGTCACGTGGACATCTTTCGCTGGTTCCTGGAACAACACTAACACCAGTCACTACCATGGCAACTGCATGAGTCTTCACAGGACGATGATCATGGAGGAAACAGAAAAAGGCCCTGAAGAAGAACTAGAATCAAGGAGTCAAGCGCATGCTACGCGACAAGTGCGGCGGAAGATAAAATAGAGAACCCCGAGATGAGAGGGGTGACCCGGAAGGGGTTCTGCTTTTCAGGCCTTTTGTAGAAAAGGTACAGGAGGACAAAGTCTCGTAGGGAACATAAACATTTGAGGACTGTGACGGCAAGAGACGTGTGACTGAGGAGCTGAGGACAGGAGGCCAGAGAGGACAACCGCCTTTACCTGGGGCCCGGCAGGAAGACGTGTGGCCGTCACTTCCTCATCAACGGCGTTCCACTCACCAGCAGCAACAGAAACCCAGGCAGAGGGCCGAACTACAGAAAGAAAAACAGTTAACACTCTGGCTTCTTGCCCTTTTCATTCATGCTGGTACTGAAAAATAAGTGTGAAAGAACATTCTACCATTATGTGAATTTGGTATGACGGGGTGGGGCATGGCGGTAGTGAATCTTGCTTCTTGGTAAAGGAATTAAAGGTACCTGGTGCGACAGTCCAGTGCCTAGAGTCCTCACCTTGCACATGCCGGGATCCCGTAAGGGTGCCAGTTCATGCACTGGCTGCTCCACTTCCCACCCAGCTCCCTGCTTGTGGCCTGGGAAAGCAGTCGAGGACGGCCCAAAGCCTTGGGATCCTGCATCCGTGTGAGAGACCCAGAAGAGGCTCCTGGCTCCTGGTTTTGGATCATCTCAGCTCCAGCCATTGTGGCCACTTGGAGAGTGAATCAGTGAATGGAGGATCTTCATCTGTCTCTCCTCCTCTCTTAAATCTGACTTTCCGATAAAGATAAATAAATCTTAAAAAAGGAAGGCACAAATTTTTTAAGCACTATTGTGCATTGTCCCTTCTATACTGCCGGATTTCACCTGTAGTGATGACTCCATTGTTTTCCTTTTACAGATGAGAATGGCTCACCTGTGAAACATGAGGTAACCTGACCAAGGCCACACAGGCCACAGCAGCGTCAGTTTTGGCACCCACGTCTGTTTGCTTTTTTTTTATTGGCAAGTCAGATCTACAGAGAGGAGAGACAGAGATCTTCTGTCTGCTGGTTCACTCCCCAAGTGCCACAATGGCCAGAGCTGAGCCAGTCCAAACGAAGCCAGAAGCCAGGAGCTTCCTCTGGGTCTCCCACACGGGTGCAGGGACCCGAAGCTTTGGGTCGACCTCCACTGCTTTCCCAGGCCACAAGCAGGGAGCAGGATGGGAAGTGGGACATGAACTGGCACACATATGGGATCCTGGCGCGTTCAAGGTGAGGACTTTAGCCACTAGGCTATGGTGCTGGGCCCTCCTCTGTGTTCTTACTGGTAGTCCTTTCCACGCCACCTAATTGGTGTGTCAAGTTTTGGACATGTATAACTGGTTTCTCTTTTCAAGGAGATTTTCAGGATGTTCAAGATCAGTCAACTGCACATATGCATGGAAGGACTTAAAAACACAAGCTACATTGCAGAACAGAGGTTTTAAAAAAAAAATAACATGGCAAGACCTCAAGGCTGGCTGGGGCAATGTAAGCTTCCTCAGGTCCCACTATTGAACTCCAGTCTTATATTGAGTATATATATATAAGACTCTTGAAGCAAATGAAGTTTTTCTACCCAAATATTCAATTTCTTTTCCAATACGTACTGAGGGCAGCCTGCACTGCCCAAAGATCCACCCTAGGGACGGGGCCCTTCCTCTCACCGCTCCTGGGGACCAGCCGGTGCGCCCTCCTCTGCCTCAGCAGTCCCTGGCATTCTGAAGGAAGGCTTCGAGCTTCGTCCTGAGACACCATCCTGGGCTGCCTCTCCTCTGGCTCAGGCTGCAACTCTGCCACCTGCCAGGCTTCTCCCAGCGGGGCTTGCTTCTCAGAACGTACGGCACTGCTGACCTGGGGAACAAAGCCAACGTGAAAACACGAAGTGGGCGCAGAGGTCCATAGCAGGGTCATTCTTCCCCCTCCCACCAAGAAAAAAAAAAAGGAAGACAGGAGACATGAGAAGGATTGAACATTGCACTCCTTTCCCCAAGAGGTCTCCCCGGGCACTGGGTGAAGAGACCACTCCTCTGCTGAGTGCGCAGCGGGGGACACTGCCAGCAGCGACATTCAGAACATCCCGGGCCAGACACCGACTTCACAGGAAAGGGAAAGTGATCAGAACGTGAACATATTCACTACCACCCTTACAGAGTCAACCCTCGTATCTGTCTATCCCTGTCCGGCCCAGCAACCTGCTGACAGATCTTCCCACAGCGCAAATCCTGTGCCGGCTGAGGCTGCATGGTCTCGTGACTGCTGCGGGATTTTACCAGGTCAGTGAAAGGATGTTCAAAGACGCGAGCACACGCAAAGCCACTGAGAGACAGGGACCTGACGGTGACCCTGAAGAAAGGGGACAAGGCTGGTGGCACTGAGAATGCCCCCGAAGGTACCAGCTGCAACATTAAAGGGTTGGAGAAGGTCCTGGAATAAGGGCTGTCCCCCCACCTCCATCCCCCACCCCCCAGACAGCTCTTTCAGGATCAAGCTGCCAAAGTCAAACCTTGTGAGCCATCACATTTGCTTTCCTGTTATAAAAATGTTGGAAAGGTGACACCAAAAGTCAAAACAAGTCCACAATGTTGATTTTCACTTGCAAGACATTTCAAAGCTTCCCCCCAATGAAATTCTTTTACATGAATTCACTTTAGAAGTCTCTCCCTCCCCCCCAAAAAACTCTCTCATCTGTACTGTTTTTCTACAATAAGCACTTTCTGCAACGTCCACCTGCTTCTCCCCTCCCCCCGCCCCTTGTTAATAAACACAACATTTTTCAGAACGCGCTCTCTAACCTGTTGTCTCAGCCTTCCTGTCTCTTTCTCCAAGCGTGCCACCAGGGCCACGGCCTCCTCTCCGCTTTCGGGACACTGCCTCTGCGCCCACGCCTGAATCTTCTCGGGCAAAATGGTGAGAAACTGCTCAATGACCAGCAGCTCCAGGATCTGCTCCTTGGAACGCATTTCTGGCTTCAGCCACCGGCAGCAAAGTTCCCAGAGTTTACTGAACGCTTCGTGGGGTCCGGCCACATCCTGGTAACAGAACTGCCTGAAGCATCGGCGCAAGGTCTCCGACTCACAGCCGCGAGGTTCTTCCAGAACGGGCTCGGATGTCCACTCAGGGCCCTTCTCCACCTTCATGATCACACATCCATCCACCTCCAGGGACGCATCAATGAGCGCATTCAGGGTTTCAGCCATTGCTCACGTCAGGCTCACGGCCGGGAAGGAGGTGGGGAGTGGGTGGTCTGGCAATGCCTTCCAAGAGCTCTCTCTGCTCCTTCCTGGATGTGTGGGAAGGTGTGTGGTCAAGATCAGGGGACCACCCCGGCTGCTTAACTAAATCGATCCTAGCTAGGCCCTTGGGGGAAAGGTGACCGTGTACATTAAAGTCGCCCCGAACCCCAGTCCCTTCCCCAAACGAGATGTGTCCTTGCAACGTGCCGTTCCAGGGTGCATCCCTTCTTGGTGCTGGAGCGCAGGAGAGAAATCGAGCTGGGACTGAGAGGAGGGAGACAGGTGGAGGCGGCCGGCGGGAGGGGGGTGTGTCAGCGCCCCGGCAGTCGGGGCTCCCCGGAGCCGAGGCCCCGGCTGTGGGTGCGCCCGGGGCCGCTGCAGCTTGTCTCGTTGGAGCCCGGCTGGTGTTCGAGACCAGCTCCGACCGTTCTGGGGGATACCTCCTGACGCCGACAAAAGGCCACAAAGCGTTTCCACCCTGGAGAGGACGAGAAAAAAAAAAACAAAACAAAACAAAACAAAAAAAACAAGCCGCAACACGAAGCAGGGCCTCGTCGCGGCGGGGCGGGGGACGGCGGCCGCTCGGCTCCGGACGCTCGGCTTCGTCCACTCAGCCCCGCGGCCAGCGCGAGGGGCGCTGGGAGCCGCGGCCACGCATGCGCCGCCCGCCACGGAGGGCCACGCGAGCCTTCCCAGCGGGCGAGGGGCTGGGGGGGGGGGGTGGTGCAAGGGGCCGGCTCTCGCGAGAGCGTGCACCTCGGTGACTCGCCGCTGAGGGACTTCGGGGCGGGAGGACGTTCCCCGGGGCGGAGGGACACCGTGACAGCTGACTGAGGCACGGAATGTGTGTGAAACACGCAGTCCTTGAAAGGGAGATTGCGGCGGGGGAGCGGGGGCTGCGGGGAGGCTTATTGTGAGGCGGAGGAACATCGTGCTGGGCCGTCGCGTCGCGCGCGTCCTGGCCGAGTGGGAAGAGGAGGACTATTTTGTCTGGCGGAGGAGTCGCGCGGTCTTGGGCGGCCTCGCCGTCCATGTTTTCGGGTTCGGTCCTGGCTAGTGGCTTCTTCAGCTGGCAGCGAGCCCCCCCTTCCTTCTCCTTCTGCCGAGGGACACGGCGCAGGTCCGGTTCTCACCTCAGAGAGGAGCCTCCCGTGGCGCCCCCGTTCCCTGTCAGCCACGCTGGGTATTTTCCTTTCCAGGGGTTTGTGAGGAAGTGCCATGGCCCAGCAGGTGCAGAGGGGCGCTGTGCTCGGTGGCCTTCTTTCTGGAGCTCCCCACGAGGGACAGTGCATTTATCCCCTCACGTAAAACCCAGAAGGGGTATTCTAGCAACCATGCCAGTCCGTGTGGTGTTCACTGAGCGCTTACTCCACCAGGACAAATTCTCGGTCCTTGGCACGCGCTGTAGTAGGTGATAGCTGAGTAGAAAGCAGTTTTGTGCCTTTTTTTTTTTTTTTTTTTTGCCTCTCCAAAGTCTTAGTTAAAACTTGGTCCAAGTCTAGCAGTTCGGAGGCTACAGGCTGAGGAAACTTCAGAGAGGCTGTGGGGGCACCTGCTGTGCCAACAACTGTGAGTCATTTGTGCAGCTTTTCTTTCTTGACATTCTAGAAAAAAATTACAAAAAAAAAAAAAAAGGTATTTTTTGAGCACTTGTTTTGGTGCCGGACAGGATGTAGGGATAAGTGACATGCAAAAATAGGGCCCTGTGCCATCCCTGTGGTGCCCTGCTGGTGAGAGAAGCAGGTGCAGGAGTTGGCTAATCCACAAGCGAGTGTGTGGTTATCGCTGAGACGTGGCGCTGAGAACCTGCGTGGCTGGGGGATGTGAGCCATTCAGGAGGTCTGTGAGGGCTTCCTGAAGAGGCAGTCCTGGAGAGGACGTGGGGAGAGAATGCTCAGAGCTGATGGGGCAGAGCCCAGGGCGTCAGGGCCGTGTTATCGCCCAAGGTTACTGCAGGCTAAGTGGCCACCCAGGAGTCTCTAGAACATTTGATTTTAGGAAAGGCTAGTGTCACAAGCAGCTCGGGGACATTGCGGAATGTCTGCAAGACTCAGGCTTCTAACAGTAGTGGAGGTAGACAGAGGTTAAGACTGTTGGGTGCAAATGAGCTTGAGGCACACTCTGGTCTGACAGTAGAAATGCCTACCACTGGTTCATTGGTGAGCTTTGCCACGTTTTGTGAAATTTTAAAGGAAGCTGGCCAATAGGTCCCCCCCCCCTCCTATGAGTAGATTTCTTTTTAAATTGTGGCAGGAGTCAAAAGTGCCTTCTAAGCATAGCAGGTACCCATAGATCCTCGAGTGATCAGCTTACCTCCTAGGGTTTGCATAGCAGGAAGAGGGAGTCAGGAGCTGGGTGCTGGGATAGGGTAAGTGAGTACTCTCAGGTTCATTTTCTGTTCTCCACTGGCCTCTCAGCGACTGCTGCTTGAAAAGGCCCTAGCAGATTTCCAGCTGCGAAGTCACTGAGGTGTGTCTCCCTTCCATACCTTTCCACCCCTTCCTGCTTTAGCTCACGCGAATGTGCTTGACGTTGTATCCTGGTCCTACTTATTTATATCCTATTTTTAATAATTTGTTGTTTTGGACCTTCCAACCACCAGGCCAACCTGGCACCTGACCCTTGACACTCAGCCTCAGCCCCTGCAACTCCAGGCTACACCCAGCTGCTGCTTGCTGAGGGAAGAGCTAGCATGAGCCGTCCTCAGAAGAAAAGTGCTCATCCTTAGGTATCTGAGCTTCAGATACGTCCTAGGCTGCTGCTGATTTTTTTTTTTTTTAAGAAGCCTATTTTTTATTGGAAAGGTAGATTTATAGAGAGAAGGGTTTTCCATCCACTGAGTCACTTCCCAAATGACCACAACAGCCAGAGCTGAGCCTATCTGAAGCCAGGAGCTTCTTGTGGTTTCCCACATGGATTCAGGGTTCCAAGGCTTTGGGCCATCCTCCTCGGCTTTGCTAGTCCATAGTAAGGAGCTGGATGGAAAGTGGAATATCCGGAACACAAACCAGCGCCCATAGGTGATGTTGGCAATTGCAGGTGAAGGATTAGCTAGTTGAGCCACCACACTGGTACCAGGCCTGGGCTTCTGAAGCTTCTCTCAGAGCAGAGCCTATGTTCCTCATTATCACTTGGTGCAGGATCTTACAGTCATCAGGAATGATTGCAATGTATTAGTGCCTTAGGAGTACACAAACAATGTACATATTTGTTTAAGTATTATGTAAATTTTAATGGGAAATTTTTGAAACATAAAAAAATTAATTCCTGCTCCTGTCCTTTGGTTTTAACTATGAGCAACATTTCACTGATCTTGTGTTATTCAGCATTTGGTTACTTAAAAGTGCCTGAGAGGAGTTTGTGCAATGGCTCAATTGGCTAATCCTCCACCTCCAAGCGTAGCATCCCATATGGGTGCCTGTTTGTGTCCTAGCTGCTCCACTTCCCATTCAGCTCTCTGCTTGTGGCCTGGGAAAGCAATTGAGGATGGCCTAAAGCCTTGGGACCCTGCACCCATGGGGGAGACCCGGAGGAAGCTCCTGGCTTCTGGCTTTGGATAGGCTCAGCTCCGGCTGTTGCTGTCATTTAGGGAGTGAACCAGCAGATGGAAGGAAGATCTTTCTGTCTTGCCTTGTCTGTGTAAATCTGTCTTTTCAATGAAAATAAATTTTAAAAAATCTTAAAAAAGTCAAACAGTGCCTGAGAGGAGTTGTGTAGAAGAGAGGAAGCATTGTATCAGTCCACTGTTCAGAGGTTCAAAGTTTGAGATCAGGTGGGACCCCTTTAGTCATGTGTTTTACAAAGGCTGATGACACAGAATGCGTACATCTCATTTCCCAGCCTCAGAGCAACATTTGACAGACATTCCTCTGTCCATGGTGCTGATCTACCAGCCAGCCAGCTGATTAATTTGCTTTTGGCCAACAGCTATTTTTAAATATTGTTTACATAGTTGAGAAGGATGCATGCCCATGTGGCTCTCCAGTTGGAAAGTGGGGATGAATGTTCCAAAGGTGTTACTTGAATGGCTTTGATAGTTCTGAAATGTTTTCAAAGTTTGTTGCACCAGGGTTGAGAAAATCTTTCCAAGATCTAATGACTGACGGCCAACAGGAATTAATGAAGGGTCACCGTAAAAGTGAACATTAAATATGCATTAAATAGTTTCAAGAAATGCCACCTGTGTCGTGGCTAAGTTAAAATGAAACAAAACAACTCCCTTCACACTTCTTTCCTACACAACTCCAGTCCATTTCTGTTAAAACTGAAATGAAAGGTTATGTATGTGTATATTGGTGTTTCTATTTCAGACAGTATGCTTAATATTATTCTTAACCAAGATAACTAACTGAAGTAATTTTCCATTGCACAAATTAAAAATTGCCTTCCCCCCTTGGCGCCCTAATAATAGATAGGTGACAGAACAGCTGTTAAAATTTGCAAGCTTTTGACATTTTTCATTAAATCCAACAATAATGAAAAATTGCCAATCAGTTCTCAATAGGTGTGTATAGTAACCAGCAGCTTCTTGCCGCATGCCTTCTTTTAAGCCATGCTAGGTTGTGGTGGGATAGGTCTTAGACATAGCCCTTTTAGTCAAAACATTAACAGCAAATTGGATAAAATTAAGACTAATTTTGTCAAATAATAGAATAAATCTGGTAGAGGTATGCATAAACTACAGAGTAACACCCCTCTGAGTAACAGGAAGAGCTTCATAGAGGGAATCTTGGAAGGTGCTTTGCAGGAGAGGAAAGAGACTTTTCAAAGAGAGATGACACAAGGATGAGTAGTACTGTTCTGTTATGGTATGAATTGCAGTATGCTGGGAACTTACTGTGGTGAGTGAAATTGTGGAAGATGAAGTTATGCACAGAGGTTGGAGGGCATTTAGACTTTCTGCCAGAGAATGTGTTCCTCATATGAGGCAGTGGAACATGTACTCATGGCTGTACGAAAGGAAT